AATCAGCAATGACAGTTACTGAGTTTTTGGTCTATTTCAACTTGGAACTGTGTTGTTTTTCATTCAATAAAATGGCTGCCGTAAGCAACTGCTGTCCCAATCGGCACTTGCAACTCTGCAGCTATAGACACAGTTAGGCCACAGGGGTTGCAGCCAGGCAAGAATTCTGTTCCCTCAGGCAACTGGCTCTATCATAGTGGGCAGCTAAAGGAAACTTTATCTAGATCTCTATCCTTCTATAGAACTCAGGATTCAAAGGTTGAGGTGAAATCCTTGTGGCTCAGAGAGGATAAATAGCAAGTTGCTAATCTTGTCTCCTTGCTCTGTCTCCCAAAAAAAGGGGCCTGTCCTTCTGCTCAGCCCCCACTAAAGAACCCTCCTTACACTTAGTTTCTTCCTGCTATTTCCTGTCAGCTATTTGCTGACTCAACCTCCTGTCCTCATGTTAATTTTATTCAATCAAGCACATGTAACATGTCTTTGCATCTTTAACAAAAGCAGCAGAAACAAATGTAACACACCCTTACACAGTTAAAATAATATTCTATGCCGGGCCGTGGTGATGCATGCCATTAATCCCAGCACTTGGGAGGCAGAGGCAGGTGAATCTCTGCAAGTTCAAGGCCAGCCTGGTCTACAAAGCTACACAGAGAAACCCTGTCTTGAAAAACAAAACAACAAAAAAGTAATAAAATAATAATAATAATAATATTCCACACAGAATTGAGATTCTTGAAGCAATAAAATACAAAGGCAGAAGTTTGGTACTAGGGGGTGGGGGTAGGGGATGAAGGGTGGGGGAGGTTGGGGTGTTCTGTGATAGACCAGACCATGTTGTTTTGGAAAGGATTGTGGAAGGACTTTGAAACTTTAGACTAGAAAAGTCATTGAGTGTTGAGAGTTCAGTGGACTGCTCTGCAGGAACTTGGAAGATAAGAGTATTGAAAGCAAAGAAGAGGATAGAGGCCTGGTTTATGAAGTTTCAAAGGGAAATACTCTACCGGGTCATTTTGTGACGAATCTGTGGTGTCTGGTCAGCTGGGGCTGAAGAATCGGCTGTGATTAACAAGAGACCAGAACCATTAAAGTGAAACCTTTGTTTTGTTGGGATAGGGGATGTTGGTCAGCTGGGGTAGAAGAATTAGCTGTGATTAAGAAGAGCCCAGCAGGGCTGGAGAGATGGCTCAGAGGTTAAGAGCACTGACTGCCCTTCCAAATGTCCTGAGTTCAATTCCCAGCAACCCAGCAACCACATGGTGGCTTACAACTATCTGTAATGAGATCTGGTGCCCTCTTCTGGGCAGCTGGTACACAGACAGACAGAACACTAAATAAATAAATAAATCTTAAAAGAAAAAAAAAAAAAAAAAAAAAAAAAAAGAACTCAGCAATCATTGAGGTACCATCTACAGGGAAGTGTTCACTCAGGATCAGCACACTGAAGGTGCTGGTAGCTGAATTTGCTAGTGAATGTCACCCAGATGGTGCTGATTTTGAAGGTGTGAAGGGGCCATGAAGAGCAGCCGCTTCATGGCAGGGTTGGAGTCCCTGAAGAGAACCCCAATCATGAGTAAATTCCAGATATTGGACACTAGGTTACACTGTTGGAGTGTGCTTTTGCTTTGTTCAGATTGTGACTTTGCCCTGGTTCTTTCCTCTTGAAGTAAGAAAGTGTTTAACTCATTTTTTATTTTACAAAAGCCCACAGTTTAGAAACTGCAATTTTAAAGAGGTTTTAGGTTTTAAAAGAGATTGGACTTTTAAAATGTTTGAATTAGTAATGACTGTGGGACTTTTAAGCTTGTAATATGTTTTATATTTGTGGTTGTCTTAGTCAGTGTTCTATTGCTGTAAAGAGACACCATGATCATGACAACTCTTACAAGGAAAGTATTTAATTGGGGCTGGCTCACAGGTTCAGAGGGTTAGTCATTATCATCATGCAGAGAAAGCATGGTGTTGTGCAGGCAGACATGGTGCTGGAGAAGTAGCTGAGAGGTCTCCATCCGGATCCACAGGCAGCAGGATGAGAGAGTGACACTGGCCTGGTTTGAGCATCTGAAACCTCAAAGCCCACTCCCAGTGACACATTTCCTCCAACAAGGCCATACTTCCTAATAGGAGACTCCCTATGGGCCTATGGGGGCCATTTCCATTCAAACCACCCCAGTGATATTCAATAATCTGAGATCTTGGGAATGAAACAAAAAATGGAGAGGCTATGGCTTAACTGTGATTTGTTTGTATGTCAGGTTGATAAGAGATCAATTGTGCTAGCTAGTTTCATGTCAACTTGACAAAAGCTAGAGTTATCTGAATGAAGGTAACCACAACTAAGAAAAAAACTTTCATAAGATTTGACTGTAGGGTATTCTTAATTAGTGATTTATGGTAGGGGGTGTTCAGCCCATTGTGGGTGGTGCCATCCTTGACCTCATGGTGCTGGATTCTATAGAAAGGCAGGTTGAGCAAACCATGATGGACACACCAGTAAGCAGCACCCCTCCATGGCCTCTGCATCAGCTCCTGCCTCCAGCACTCTGTCCTGTGTGAGTTCCTGTGCTGACTTCCTTCACTGATGGACTACAGTGTGGAAGTATAAGCCAAATAAACCTCTTCCTCCCCAACCTTCTTTTGGCCATGGTGTTTCATCACAGTAGAAACCCTAATACCCCTTTGAAGCTGTAAGCAAGCCCTCTTCTATAAGTTGTCTTGGTCTTGGTGTCTCTTCACAGCAATAGAACAGTAACTAAGGCAGAGCTGAATACCAAAATCTTTTGAGGCATAGAAAAACCAGAATAACATTCAGAAGTATTTACTGCTGCAGGTAACAGAGCACCAGAGGGACTTTGTGGTCATCTCTATGTATGTAAAAAAAAAAAGAATCAGTATTTTCATTTTACATGCACTTCTGAGCAGACTCAAAAACCTTTAGGCTCACAGGCCTAAATGAAAGCAACATTTGAGTCTTAACAGATTGCATTTCTGGTACAACAAAACTTGGGAATAGATCATGGGTGACCATGAGTGTTGGTAGAAGAAACCCAAGACAGTAAAGAGCTAAAGAGAGAACAAACAAACAAACAAAACAAAACAAGACAGAGAAAGGACTACAAAAATGCAGAAACAAGCCTAGGATTTTTTTTTCTGTGAAGCCTATTTATGAGTACAGAGCTGAACCCCACCAGTAAAACACCTGGAGGGTCTCTGGGCCCATGGGATCCCACTGCTGGCAACCCAAATCAGAGGCTGAACTCAGACTGAAAGAAAAATTTAACTACAGCAAGTCAGATATGAATTATGGTTACTGGGGTGTGAAGCCAAGATTTCCACAATCTCCATTCACTCCCATTGCCCAGAGGAGCAAGCTGGTAGATGCAGGGTGATGAGAAAGGCTTGGAAGAGGCTGAACCTACCAGCAGAGAACAGCACCACGACCCATGACAGAGCTCTGGAGAAGGCGTAAGGGACCCTAAATCTGAGAAAGCTTGGGACCCACTGAACCCCTAGGAAATATGTGTGGCAAAACCTGGCTCATGATGGGGCATCAAGATTTGAACAACACACTCCAAACAACATGGGCTATGGAGAAGCTGAGGGAAGGGCCGGCTTTTGCAACCAGACCCCTTTTAAGGAAGACTCGGAGATGTACCAGGATCTGAGAGTCCACCTATGAAGAAAGCACAGACTAGGGCCAGTATCTGTAATTCAGTTATTCAAAGTCACACTGGGAGAGAACAGGAATATAATGGAGGAACTTCCAGGGGCTAGACAGACTTCTTGTAACCGAGGAAAAAACATTGAGAGACTGAGTGTTGGGAAATTTAAGTACTTGTCCCTTACAGCTCTCTTCCTCCCCACCCAGCTGTAGAACTTCTGTGCAAGCAAGATTGAGCAAACAAGGTTGTTTTCAGAACTTTCCGGTGTGCAGTGTCTATACCTTGACCCCAGGTGTGGGTGGTGTATGACTTCCTCCTATGCTTAGCCCATCCCCTGGCTTGGGTATTTAAGCCCTTTACCCTCTGTAATAAACGGCAGCAGCTTCTTCACTACTCATGGTGGTCTGTTAAGTGTTTCAATCCGCACACCCTCTGCCAAGCTTGGTATTCTACTGCATGGGCAACTGAGTCTGGTTATCAGGCCGGACAGTTTTCATAGCTTATATCCCCAACCAGATCTCTCTCCTCCCATTTAATAGCCTATCAATTTAGCATGCCAACTTGCTCCTATTCTGTTATTGCTCTGGGTTATTTTTCCCTCCTCCTTACTGTTTCCTTTTTTATTTTCCTCTCCCAACAAGCAGATTGAACTGATTTGCCAATACTAACTGTAGTGGTTTGAATGAAAATGGCCCCTTAGGCTCATAGAGAGTGGCACTATTAGGAGGTGTGGCCTTGTTGGAGTAGGTGTGGCCTTGTTAGAAGAAATGTTGCAAAAGGGAATAGACTTTGAGTTCTCAAATGTTCAAGTCAGTAGTATAACGTCTAGTGTAACATTCACTTTCTGTGGCCTGTGGATCTCGATGAACAGCTCTCAGCTATCTCTCCCACCCAAATTAAGTGTTTTCCTTTATAAGAGCTGCCTTGGGCCTGGTGGTGGTGGTGCACACCTTCAATTCCAGCACTCAGAAGGCAGAGGCAGGTGGATCTCGTTCAAGGGCAGCCTGGTCTACAGAGCAAGTCCTCTATTACACAGAGAAATCTCAATGGTGTCTCTTTACAGCAACAGAAACCCTAAGACACTAACAAATTAGCTTATGTGGTACCAACCACTGAGCAATCTCTCCAGCCTGTTTCTTTTATTCTTATTCTTTTTTAGACTAAGTTTCTCTGTAGCATTCTGGCTGTTCTGGGACATACTATATAGACAGGGTTGGCATATAATTCAGAGATGCACCTGTCTCTGCCTCCCAAGTGTCAGGATTAAAGGTGTATGCCAACATTCCTGGATCACAATAAAAGATTTTAAATGACACTTTGGAAGACACATTAAATGACACATTTAATCACATAGCTTAGCACTTTATTGAGATCATCAAAATCTTAATAAAACAATATACTTTACTGTAAAATAGAGAATAGGACAACTTCCTTAAGAATCTCCAAGAAACAGCTCAGAGCAAAAATTTGTGTCTAGTACAGAAGCATATCACACTCATAAGTGTTATAGATAGCTGACAATCTGTCTTAGCCTACAATTTTGATAACAATCTCTTATGAAATACAGACAAGAGCTTCCTTTCTATCCAGCAAGCACCCTATCAAAGCTCCACTTCTAAAAGCAGACACAGGGAAAAAATAATAAATAAATAAAAGCAAACATTGGAGCTTGGCTGTGAGAGTGAGAAGAGAAAGCTCATGAGTTGGCTGCATGCTGAGTGAGCTCCTTAACTCTGTTCATACAATGATCAATGGCATTAATGAGTAAAGGGATCCAGCTATCTTCTGGCTGGGGGGTCACATGACTTGCTCTGGGAATAAAACAGAAAAAGAGTTGTTAATGTGCAGGGAAAAGCCATTACCAGGAGGAGCATAGAAGAAACTACAGTAAGAAGGCATTCCTCTTCACAGACAGGCCACTCCACACCCTACCCACATCCACAGCTCCCCTCCCCAGTGCTCTGAAATGGTGTCAGTTCTTGAGAATAGCTGGGCAGATGATTTTAGTCTCACATGTAGGGAGAAGTCTTCAGACTTACTTTGTAATTTCAAGCGCCTTTATTAAAACAGATACCAATTTTGCAGACTAGAAAAGAGAGAGAGAGAGATGTCACTTACCCTGAGCCCTGGCACCAAAAAAAACGAGACCTTGAATATTCACGTAATAATAAGACAATCATTTAAAAAGAGCTTTCAAGGGGCGGGAGAAGTGGCTCAGTGCTGTGCAGTCCTGAAGACCTGAGTTTGAACTCATTTTATAAAGGGGAAGGAAGGCAGGGCGGCGGTGGAGCATGCCTTTAATTCCAGCACTTGGGAGGCAGAGGTAGGGAGGATCTCTTTGAGTTTGAGGCCAGACTGACCTACAAATCGAGTTCCAGGACAGGCTCCAAAACCACAGAGAAATCCTGTCTCAAAAAAAATCAAAAAAGAAAAGAAGAACTGGATATGACCATGTTACCACAGAGCTATGGGGAACAGAGATTATGAGATCATTGAGGCTTGCTGGCTGCCAGACTGGCTCCAAGTTCAGTGACAGACCCTGTCTCAAGGTAATAAGGTAGAGAGTAACAGAGCCCACTCATCATCTTCTGGCCTCTGCATATGTACACACCTACCTGTGCCCCCCATAAATGAAAAAAAAAACAACAACAACAACAAAAAGAATTCTACTCCTTAAAGCACTGTTTTCTATTTTCAAATGGTCATCCAAGTGGCTACAAAAGTATCAAAGTACATAGCTATTCCAACTCAAATTCAGCTTGTATTTATCAAGCACAAAGATACGTAAGAACTATGAAACTATCTTAATGGTACACAGGTTTGGCAAAGATAAAAATGCTCTGTAGCTTATAGGAAATACTAGAGACTAATATAATTCTACCAATTCAAAGCTAGTACTTACATTGATCCGCACAGTGAGGTGACACACAGGTGGATAAATGCTCAGAACCAAATCATCCACACTAAGAGAAGAAAAATATAACCATTAACCAAAAAGGGGGCACAGAGCTCAGTGTGGTTGTTTCTAGTACACAATCAACCCAGTTCCTTAATTTGAGTAAGCAGGTATGCTATGCAGAAGCAATTTAGTCAATGTTCACTGAATCGAATACCTCCTATTTAGGAAGCTGGAGTAAAAATGCCCATGATTCACAGGATAAGGAATGATTAGTTGAGTCAAACACAAGAGGATTTGAAACCATCAGTATAGTAAGTGATACAGGCAGAGTTCATGAGTGGAAGCTAAACAGGTTAGATAAAGGTACCCTTCTAAAGAGGCCACTACTTTAATCATGTGAACAAATTTATTACCACAAGAAAAACCAACACCATGTGTTTCCCCAAAAGGATACAGAGAGAAGTACAAAATACTCTCATAATCTAACTTTATTATTATTATGAGAAAATAATTTTATGAATCCAAATTGTTGTGTATTTACAATGTGTAATTCTGAAATACCAATGTCAAGTCAGACTAGAAGGGACAAATACTATTGTAAATTCCAAGAAACAAAATAGATGCCAACCAAATGCAGTAAGAGACCTTAATGGAACCCAGAATTTATGTAAGACATTTTGGAGGCAAGGGAAAAAAATAAGTATTAGATATTATTATTACATCAAATGTTAAATTTCTTGAATGTGACTAATCTCTTAGGAGATTACAAATAAAATATTTAATGGTAAGAAGCTATTTATGTCCTAAATGATCTAGAAAAAAACATATCGTATATAGAGAGGAAATAGGTGATTATGAGAATCCAAATAAAGGATATAGAGCTATTTACTGAAATGCTTTTTCAATTTCTTTTAGGCCTGAAAATTTTCAAAATATAAAAAGCTGAAGGAAGCCTGCAGCAACAGCAGCTCGAATCACAATGCTCCTGTTTTTAAGTGTGGCACATGCTTACCTGGGGCTGATCTCATCAGAAATATCCACAATGTCATCCAGCTGGGCTACTTGATCCTTCTTCCCATTCTCAGCCACTAAGATCCGGATTTTCTTGAGGGAAGCTCTGGATGCTCTCACCAACGCAAGGCATGGGGTTATGAGCTCTTGATCTTCTTCTGACCAGTATGAGTCCCGATTGCTTGGAAGCCCTAATACACCATTTTCATCATTGTGGCTGTCAGAGTTGTCCTCAGAATCATTCAAGAGGCCAGAGTAAGGGTCACATTCTTCTACAGCCTATGACATATCATCATATATGTAAATGCAAACATTCCACCACTACCATTAGTCACCTGCTTTACTACCTGATACAAAACTGCATCAATTTATAAACCACATTCTCCTCCCTGTCCAGAGAGGAACAGAGAGGTGGCACTAAAACACAAGACAGAAGACTGGGAGATGGAAGGCAGGAAAGGAGTGAGACTGGGATCATTCAATCAAGTTGCAGGGCTCCCTGTCTCCATGGTCAGTTCTCATCTACTGGTCATAGAGTTGCTTTCCAATGACCAGGAAGATCGGAAAGTGCCTTCACCTGCTCCATTTCTTCATGTGCATCTTTCACAAAATCCACACTCTTTGTCAGCATCAAAAGGGCTGCAGCCTTGTTATCTATGAGTGAAAAATCAAAAGCACTAAAATTAGAAGAGAACTCTTTCTCTTAAGACTGCAAAGGGCAACCAACACTGCTTTAAAGTAAAACTTTTCTTATTACACCCTCTGCCTGGACAAAGGATTAAAAGGCTTTTTAATTTCACCACCAGAAGAAACAAGACTGTCTCATGGTGTTTGTTATCACACCAGTCTTAGTTTGATAACCACTCTTAGTCATCTGCCTGGCTCTGCTTTATAACTCTTTTAGTGTGCTCTCCGATGCTGCTCCTGGGACAGCAACAGGAGAGCAAACTCTATCTTTTCCACAAGAGACAGAGCCATGGCAAGAGGAGTCTGAACTTAAAGAGCAGTGCTTAGTAGTAGGGTGCTTGGATGGCATACCCTGGGCTCAATCCCCAGCACTGCCAAAACCAAACAAAACCAAACCAAAATCCAGTGTGAGGAATGACAAAAAGTACTAAAGTCAATTAATATTGGTGATAATAAACTACATGTTATTTCACTTAAAGTCTTTATAGAAATTAAATTAGTTATGTAAGGCAAAGCTGGAAGCTGGATATGAGAGGTCTTTTTGCTTCAGCCAGCAGCTAAAAGCTTACTTCTACCCACCTTTTGGAATCTCAGGCACCTGTTGGCATGCTACGGAGACACTATTGCAGGAAATAAGGTCACTGTTCTCAGTGCTGGAAAAAGGAATTAATAAGGACATATCAATAACCATGGTTCCTGTCACCTAAAATTGTCTGCCATGAGGGACAATATATAACTTGGCTGTTAGGGTCAATTTTTCCTCTCTGAGTCAAGGAAGCCCATTAACTGTCATCCCACACTGTGGCACTGATACCTCTGAGATGGAGAGATAAGCACTTCCAGGAGCTGAGCCATGCCATCCACAATGTCCAGAGTAGCATTCCGCACCAGCTTTCTCAGGGTGATCCCTGTAGCCAAACCCAAACAGTAAGTAGCCTGGTCATTTCACATGTCACCACTTGCTTTTGTAAGTGTTACAGAACTATGAGGTAACAGATACACACATGCTTTATATCACATACCAGTGCAAGACTCAAGTCTTACTTAAATTCTTATGCCATTTTATTTCCCCTCCTGCCATTCTTTAGTTTTAGAGTTCAACAGTTTTAGAGTCTTTCCATGTGTATTCAATCATTAAGGACACTGGTCCTTTGATAATTGTGGACAAAACACTGTAAGTTTAAAGCATTTGTAAGTAACCCAGATGAACTATAACATATTTTCATTTATTTTCTCATCATAACTTCAGTGAAGGTAGAAATCTACAGACCAGGTTGGTGGGCACTTAACTTGTCTACAAACAGGGTATGATGTAATGCTAGGTGGAGGAGGGTAGGGACTGGAAAGAAAAGTGAATTAGGGGCTGAGAAGAAGCCTATTTATAAAGTGCCAGTTACACAAATGTGACAGCTTGAGTTTAATTCCCAGAGCCTACATGAGAAAGACAGACACAATGAAGTGTTCCTATAATGCCAGTGCTGCTGAAGCAGAAACAGGAGGCTCCCTGGGTAATCAGTGAACTCCAAGGAAGATTCTCTCAAAACACAAGGCACTGACCTCTGCATGTACTCACATGTACATCCATGAGCATCTGAATACACACATGCACTTATGTGTGCACATACATACACAGACACAAATAATGGAATGTTTTTTTATAAAGGATCAGTTGAGGGCTGAAGACATGTGTCAGCACTTAAGAGTACAGACTGCTCTTCCAGAGGACCCAGATTCAATTCCCAAACCCACATGGCAGATCACAATGTCTATAACTTCAGTTCCAGGGGATCCAATACCCACTTCTGACCTCAGCAGAGACCAGACATGCATGTGGTACACAGACACACATGCAGGCCAAACACCCATACCAATCAAATAAATAGTAACTTTTAAAAATAACCAGTTGAGATGGCTCAGCAGGTAATAGAACATGCTGCACAAACCTGATGATCTGAGTTTAATCCCAGAAACCCACAATGGAATGAGAGACCCTATTCCCCATGTACGTACCTGCACACACAGAAACACACACACACAAACTTTTTAAAGAATCAGGTAAAGTAGTAACAATAGGAAATCAAAGGTGCATAGCCTCTGTACCTTAGCATAAACAGAGTGCTACAGAGATCACTCACATTACAAAACTATCTTTGACTATTTTATGGGGAAAAGTCACATGCTCAAAAGTGAAGAAAAATAGACATGTATAATATGTTTATATATAAATAATAATATTACATTGAAGACAAACACATATAATAATGTGGTGGGGGATGTCCTTCTATATGCTGTGAATACGTTCCTCTTATTGGTTAATGAACAAAGCTGTTCTGGTCAATGAACAGGCAGCATATAGCCAGGCAGGAAGTATAGGCAAGGCTACCAGACTAGGAGAATTCTGGGAAAAGGAAAGGAGAGAGTGAATGGCAAGGGAGATGCCACATAACCACTAGGAAGGAAAAATGCCCAGGCATTCTCTGGTAAGTCAAAACTACGTGGAGATACATAGATTAATAGAAATGTGTTAATAACTAAAAGAGAGGTAGCCAGTAAGAAGCCTGAGCCATTGGCCAAACAGTTTATAATTAATATAAGTTTCTGTGTGTTTATCTGGTACTAAACGACAGAAACTGTTTACATATTGATAATGTTTACATACTAATATATAACATCAGGATATAGTCTACTACCTTAGCAAAGATCTAGCCTATAAATGCAACACAACTGTGTATACACAGTGACTTACCTTGATTTTTAGGAAGTGAATAATATACTGCAATAATTTCTTTGATGCCAACATGAATTTGCTCACAGATCCTCTGGGTTTCCTATGAGGTGATGGACAAATTCAGAATTAATAGAACAAATGTTCAATATCAGTGCTGTCAGCCTATTTACTGGGGAAGAGATCAAATATTTATAAAGCATGATCAAATGTTTTCTGGAAGTCTATGGGGTCAGGCTTATGATATATATTCATCCCATACTAGAAAGAAATTAGGTAGACACCAGACAGTTCAAAAAAGCATTACAATATGAAGGAAAACCTTATTTCTGCTATTTAATATACTAAGCAATCATGTTGTGCCATGAGATAATCTCTGCACTTAGTCCAGTAGGAAGCAAATTATAGCCCAGAGGCTTCCCCAGGCTCACTGTTGGGTTTTATACATAGAGTGTTACTAGGACACAGTCATACTCATTAATTTACAAACATCTAATAGTTGTATTTGTATTACAAGGAAAGAGTTGAGTAGTTGTCCTACAAAGCCTAAAGTATTTATTCAGCACCTGGTCTTTTGTTAAATACAGCCCAATTACTGCATCAGGCCATTACCATGCCTTTGCTGTCATACAATTTATCTTTTTTCTTATTAGTAAATTGCTCAAGACAGTGGTTCTCAATTTTCCTAATGCTGTGACCCTTTAATACAGTTTCTTATGTTGTGGTAACCCCAATCATAAAAATACTTTCATTGTTATAAATTATAATATAAATATCTGATATGCTAGATATTTGATATATGATGCCTGTGAAAGGGTTGTCTCACCCCCCATAAAGGGGTGGTGACCCACAGTTTGAAAACCATTGTATTAAGCTATGCAGGAGACAGGCAGTAGTGGCACACATCTTTAATCCCAATACCAACACTCGGGAGGCAGAGGTAGGTGGATCTCTGAGTTCTAGACCAGCCTGGTCTACACAGCTAGTTCCAGGATGGCCAGAGCTTCACAGAGAAACCATGTCTCAAAACAACACACACACACACACACACACACACACACACACACACAATCAGGAAAAGGGTTTATATTTTTATAGTTACACACACAAAATCAGGAAAAGGGTTTATATTTTTATAGTTTTATGTTGTAAAAGGAAATTTTTATCACATTAAGACATTCACAGCTAAGCAGTAGAGGTGCACACTTTTAATTCCAGCACTCAGGAGGAAGAGGCAGACAGATCTCCAAGTACAAAGCCAGCCTGATCTACAGAGTGAGTTCCAGAACAGCTAGAGCTCCACGGAAAAAACCCTGTCTCTAGAAAACCAACAGAACCAAAAGAAGACATTCACAAAGGGCTGAGAGTGTAGCTCAGTAGTACAGTATTTGTATTGTTATATGTGAAGTCCTAGGTTCAATCCCAGAGTGAGTGAATGAATGAATAAATAAATAAATAAAAATGCAACATCTTGATACATAGTTATTGAGATTACTATGAAAAGTGAGGTAAACTACTCTTTGGGCTGGAGAGGTGGCTCAGAGGGTAAGAGCATTAGCTGCTCTTGTAGAGGACTCAGGTTCAGTTCCCAGCATCCACATGGGAGCTCACAACCATCCTTAACTCTAGTTAAGAAGATCCAATGCCCTCTACTGGCCTCCAAGCAAACAATCATGTGCACATACATGCAGGCAAAATACTCATAGACATGAAATAAAATAAACACTTAACAAATAAACTACTCTGAAGTAAATGTAGCTCTAGAAAAATGTGGCACAGGGCATTTACATGTTGGTCGATCACAGCCAATATCTAGCTTTACTTTTAGTTACATAATACAGAATTATTTAAAATGCACTAATTCTTTGTTCCTGTAAGTTCACCTCTGTAATTTTTTTCTATCAACACACATATGTATGCAAAGATTATAACTGACAATTCACTACAGTGCCATTTACAATGTTTCAAGTTGAAAACAGTTTAAAATATCCACCTGGGATACTGTTTAAATTATAGCTATAGTTACTCTATCAAGTATTACAAAGAACTAAGCAACTTTTTGAGTGACATTAAGAATCAACTTCTAGCTGGGTGGTGGTAGCCCATGCCTTTCATCCCAGCACTCATGAGGCAGAAGCAGGTGGATCTCTGTGAGTTCAAGGCTAGTCTGGTCATTCCAGGACAGCCAGGGCTGTCTCAACAAAGCAAAAAAACTACTTATAGTACAGCACAACTACTTATAGTATCTAACCACTGTGTGAGAAGAAACACACACAGAGATATGTATATATGCATAGGACAGATTTATGGAGTAATACAGAAGCAAATGGAATGAAATAGAAAGGTAAACTGGGGTGAGAAGATAAATGTATTTTAGTGTACTCAGGTATCTCTTGAACTTTACCCGTATATTAGTATAAGTAAACAGTTTAATTCTAAAGGGTTTTGTGTAATAGGTGTTGCTTAGATACTTCGTAGTCTTTTAACTCCACCGCCAAAATTTATTAATCTTGACCCAAGTCTCTAAACTTGCTTGCTCATCTGTCAGATGGGGAATATGTATGAGAAACAGCTATAAATCAAAAAAAGCTTTTAAGATTAGGAGGAACTAACCTGACTGAGTTTTGGGCTGAATTTAGAAGACCTTTCTACCCTATGTATGCACTTGGCTATTTGGTCCTCACAACAATCATATGCGGTAAAACCTATAATCCCATTTAATAAATGAAGAAAATAAAATGTGGCTTGAGGGTAAAAGGTGAGCAGAAAACCAGAGGCAGCACAAAAATTCCAGAAAAGAAAGCTCACCCGTGGAGATGGCAGTGGAAGTCGGGAGAAAAGTGTAGTCAGAATCGTGGCTTCCCCTGACAGGTTCACTGCGGCCTCATCTGGGGGTGGCAGAGGGTTAAAAGGTTAAAGCTGCAACCACTACACGATTTTTTTTTTTTTTTTTTTTTTTTTAGGATAACGCGTCCCTTCTCCACCCTTATCATCATAAACATCTCCAAAACAACTCCAGAAATCGTTTTATATTTCAGCCTCAAGTGTCGAGGACAGGTGGCAGAAGGGATGAGGAGCGGGCAGGATTGTCACCTCTTGGGACAACAGAGGGGAGAGAAGTTAGGATGCAGGGAGGGAGGAGGGAAAAGTCTGCAAGGGCAGAGACACTCACTAAGTCTTCTCCAAAACACCTCTCGATTGAATTCCTCGGCTGTCTCCTGGGCTTCGCCGACTTGAGGGTGTAGCGCGGGAGGCCGGACCACCCCGAAAGCAAAAGACAGGTGAGCGGAGCCCTGACACGACGCCCTGCCCGGAGCCCCGGGGCTCCAAGTCCCACAACTCACCCCTCACTCCAGGCAGAAGCGACCGCAGCTCCGCTGCCAGGTGCCGGAGCTGCTCCAGAGGCGGAACAAGGAAGGGGGCTGCGGCTGCCGAGCTCGCCATCGCAGCCTCTCACAGGGGACTCTATAGTCAGGACGCTTAAGCCATTCGGGCCCTGGCGCTGTATTTCCGGTGCTGAGAACGCCTCTCGCTTCCGGCAACACAACCACGCCCCGCCCCTTCCTCCTCAGTGAGGCGACCCCGCCTTCCCGGACAGCAGGCGGTCAGTTCACGCCTCCGCCCGCCTAGAGACCCGCCTACCCCTGCCGATCTACTTAGAGGTCAGGCCACGCCTCCCGCTCTCCTAGAGGCCCGCCCACGGCCCCGCAGCCCGGCCTAGAGACCCAGCACTCCAGTCTAGGTCCTGGTCCTGCCCCTCTCCACCACCCCACCTTGACATCCTGCCACACCTGCCACGCCTCGTAAAGACCCAGCCATGCATCTTCTAACCTATTAGAGACCTGGGCACTCTTTTTTTTTTTTTTTTTTTGCCATTTTATGTATCTGCAAGTATGTCTGTGGCAGCCCCGTGGTGACTCTTTCTCTGAGCCCCAGACATCAGACCCACTTTCTGGTTCCCATGTTTAGCCATTGCAGATCCATGTGATATTTCTTTCTTTTCAAGTTTTTAAAAATTTTATGTGCACTGGTGTTTTGTCTGAATGTGTGTCTGTGTGAGGGTGTCAGATCCCCTAGAACTGGAGTTACAACACAGTTGTGAGCTACTATGTGCATGGGAATCAAACGGGGGGGGGGGGGAAGGGGAGGGCGGCTCTGGGAGAGCAGCCAATGCTGTTAATCACTGAGCCATCTCCCCAGCCCTGATGTTTCTTTCTTACAATATTTACTATTTATCTTTTATTATGTTTAAATTATGTGTAAGTCTGTGCACATATGTGGCCTGGAGCCACCTGACATAGTTGCTGGGAATTGAACTCAGGTCCTCTAGAGGTGAAGTACACGCTCAACCACCAAGCTATTTTTCCATCCGACCTTTTGTGATATTTATCATTCATTCATTTATTTGATTAGTTGCAAACGGCCCCGACTAAGGAAGCAGAAAGCCCATAATCTGTGGGAAAACAGGCTGGGAAGTAAAGTTTCAAGAGTAGTCAAAGTCCAGCCCAAGTCTCCACGGGTTCCCTAGGCATAAAATGGCACCTTGGACACCTTCTGGAGTCCAGGCTTGGGCTGGATGCTTTCCACAGGATGACCCTAACAAACACAGTAGTGCTGAGGTACGAGTAACAGAGACTTCCACCTTGGGAATCTCCATGATCAGGGCTCTTTGCCTCCTGAGGAAGAAAGAATCAGTTGTTAGATTCTGCAGTCCACAACTGCAGGAATCAGTAGTTAACACTTCCAACATACAGATGTTCACGGAGTGACAGTGTCCTGAAGCCCACCCGCTGACATTGGCTTTCCATCTGCTGCAGGCACAGAGATAGGCTGGACTTCTGCCACACTGCCAGCTGTGAGCCATAGATTTCAGGCGCTCAGATGGCTTTTGAGCTGCACCATGAATGTTCCAAGTTCAGTGGAGTTCAATGTCCACACACAGCGAATTAGTACAGGTGTCAGCAATGTCAACCAGGTCCGCAATGGGGAGAATAAAAAGGCTAGAGTGCCGTAAGTCACATGAAGAAAGTAGCAAGAATAAACCTGCCATATGTAGAGGGGAAGCACAAGCAGGTAAACAGGTATAATCTTCAAGTGTTTTCCTCGGTAGAGATGAGACCTGAAGCTATGACCAAAGCACCGCTGCAGCAAGCTCCAACATAGGTAAGCCATCAAGGGGATGTTAAAAAACACCAGCTAGAAAAAAAGAGACAGAACCATTAACTTACCACCAAGCCCCAGGAGGGGTCTGGTCCCATTATAATAATGGTTTCTACTAATGTCTTCAGTTTGGGTGTCTGATTACTTTTTCTCAGAGGATGAGGAGATGGGGATGGAACTCAGAGATTTTCATATACTAGGCAAGCACTCTACTCCTGAGCTATGTCCCAGCTCTTACGTGTCTGATTTTTAATGTAATGATCATTCCTGTTTATAAGAGGACAGTTTGCCTGTAGTTAACTGTATGTATATTTGCCTGTCCTCTTAAAGATACGTATCATTTATGTTGAAGGTCCTATTGTAATACAGATATATACCAAGAGTAGGTACACAAGAGTGTTTATATTGGAAATGAACTGAGTAATATGCACAGGCACACAACAGAGAATATACTCTATGTTGGCAGAGTGAAAGGAGGACTTAGGTATCAGTATTGAGGTTGTATTCTGAGTAATGAAATACAAATTAGATCTAGGTTATAATCCAGGTGTAGTTGCTATGTGGCTCATTCAACAAATATTCATACAATACTCATTAAACAGCAGGCACTTTGTTAGGCTCTAGGTTAGAGGCATACCGGTAAACAAGTTAAACGGGGGGGGGGGGGGGAGGAGTGGGTGGCAGGTTAAAGAGTGACTGGGGGTGGAGAGATGGCTCAGTGGTTAAGAGCACTGACTGTTTTTCCAGAGGAGCTGAGTTCAATTCCCAGCAACCACATGGTGGCTCACAACCATCTATAGTGGGATCTGATGTCTGCATACCAGACAGAGCACATCAAATAAATAAATAAATAAATAAATAAATCCGAGAGAGAGAGAGAGAGAGAGAGAGAGAGAGAGAGAGAGAGAGAGAGAGAGAGAGAGAGAGAGAGAGAGAGAGAGAGAGAGAGAGAGAGGTGACTAAGAACATTTGCTGCTCTTACAGAGGACCCAAGTTTAAGTCCCAGCACTAACATGAACACTCACGAATGTCTGTAAACTTCATAACAGGGTATGTGAAGCCCTCTTCTGGCCTGCCAGGACACTGCAGTCACATGATAGACATACAGGCAAAACATTCATGCACATAAAATACAAAATTTTAAAAGGATTCATTCAAGACAAATATCTATGTATGTACATAGATACATATAGACAAACATGTATATTTACAAGGAAGATAATTACAGGTTGTGATAAATGAAGGAGATAATTAGATCATGAAAGGATAACTAGGAGACAGACTCCTTGGAGCATGAAGGGCAGCAACGAAACAGCTAAGGGAAGTAGATTCTGAGAATCTGATCACCGGACCAGGTAGAACAGGATCAGGATGGAAATTAAAGTTGTGTTTACTTTCAAGGAATTAAATATAAACTGCTTTATCATGCCGGGCGGTAGTGGTACATGCCTTTAATCCCAGGACTCAGGAGGCAGAGGCAGGCTCTGGGAGTTCAAGCCAGCCTGGTCTACAGAGTGAGTTCCAGGACAGGCTCTATAGCTACAGAGAAACCCTGTCTCAAAAAAATAAAAATAAAAAGTAAAATAAACTGCTTAATCAGTGTTTTCCAAGCAAGAACACTGGAAAGGATGTCCCATTGTGTGTTACATGGAAACGTGTGCTGCCTTTCTAATGTGTTCTCTGTAAGACACTACATGGAAGACCAGTGATGCTTTTTGTATAGTGAAGGTTTCCTTAAGTGACACCCACTTTCCTTATGTGTCTATTTTCTTTTCATCCCTCTGAAATATTTTTCCTTACCATAATCAGTTTTTTAAACTCGGAAACATAAAATTTGTTTTGCTATAAATCTCATTTCTTTTCATCAATAAAAAAGTGTAATGAAAACTGGGCATAGTGACATACACCTTTCATCTTAGCATTCATTCAGGAGGCAGAGGCAAGTGGGTTTCTGTGAGTTCAAAGCCAGCCAGGTCCACAGAGCAAGTTCCAGGACAGCCAGGAAGACTACAGAGATACCTTGTCTCACCCCTCCCCCAAAGAAAGCACAATGAAACAAATAACAAGAACCCTATATGGCCAGAATGTATTTTAGATGTCTACAGTTATACCTTGGCCTTTTGGCTAAAAGCAAAATAGATGTTACAAAAGAGTAAAGGAAGAAAATAGGAAGTGAATAAAACATCAGCAATTAGACATTGCCTGCAAGTAAAGTAGGAAAGATGATGCATGGTAGTAATTGGAGATCCCTGTCATATAGTTAGTTCAACAAAGTCAGGAAGGTTTCTAGTGACTTCTTACCTGCATAATTCCACTTATAAATGTTAGACCACCTTGCAGGAAATGTCCATCAACAAATATCCCAAAGGAAAAGCAGCAACCCAATTTGCCATCAATTATTTCTCCAACAAACCACGGTCCTGAGAGAGTAATGGACAGAAAAGCAGAATATTAAAAAACTGAGTCTTACCAGGCATGATGGTGTATGCCTTTAATACCAGTACTCAGGAGGTGGATCTCTATGAGTTTGAGGACACCCTGGTCTACAGAGTGAGTTCCAGGACAACCAGGGCTACACAGAGAACAAAGAAAAAAACAAGCTGGGCAGTGGTGGCTCACACCTTTAATCCCAGCACTCAGGAGGAAGAGGCAGGCAGAGCTAGTTCCAGGACAGCTTCCAAAGCCACTGAGAAACCCTGCCTCAAAAAACCAAAAAGAAATAAGAAAAAAAAAAAAAAAAAAAAAAGGAAAGAAACAAACAAAAAACCTGTGAGACTTGGCCAGTATGGTCACTTCAGTGGGCCAGGGCACTAATAGGCCTGACCACCTGAGTTCAGTTCCTGTGACCCACATAGTGGAAGGAGAGAACTGACTCTTGCAAGTTGTTCTCTGACTACCAACTACACACTGTGGCACATGTGCCCACACATGTAAACACACATAAGATATAAACTGTAGTGGTTTGAAAGAAAATGGTCCCCAAGGGAATGGCACCCTTAGGTGTGATCTTGTTGGACGAAGTGTGTCATTGTGGAGGTGGGCTTTGAAGTCTCATATATGTTCAAGCTACACCAGTAAGACAAACCACTTCCTGTTATCTGCTAATCACCATGTCTGCCTGCACGCTGCTATGTCCCACCATGATGATAATGGACTAAACATGTAAAAGTGTAAGCCACCCCATTAAATGTTTTTCTTTATAAGAGCTGCTGTGGTCATGGTATCTCCTCACAATAATAGAAATCCTAACTAAGATAAAAATTGGTACCAGGAGTAGGGTATTTCTGTGATAGGCCTGACCATGTTTTTGTTTTTAGAGTAATATGG